TAATGCGATTTCAGGGAGAATCGTGATGCATGCGCTAGTGGAGTACCATGTCCAATAAGGCCAGGCGACAGCGATTACGAGTGCCTCTGGATTTCACCAATTACACTGTGTTAACAAAACTTTTGAAGAATGACGCTCCTTATCAGATTCGTTATGCAATTGTCGACGGCGAAACTGGCCAAACGGATTGCGTATTCATGCAAATTAGGGTCAAGTCCGAATAATGCTTGTGCAGGTAAACAGCTAATCCTTGTATTTTTGCCGAGCTTAGCAGGCTGGAGGAAATCACATTGTTGTTTCTTCCGGTCATTCAGGAGAGCTTTACATCCTTTGTGGTATAAGTCTTCTGCAAAATCAGCCTAGTTGGCTGTTAGCAAAGATGCAAACTCACTCTTGTATGTTGTAACTCTTCTGTTGTACCTTAAACGCCATTATTTGTTTAGCTTTTTTTCAGCTACTACCTCACTGCAACGTGGTTGGTACCATTTGAGACTCTCCCCACTGCAGCAGCGGTAAAAGCTGCATTATCTGATGATAAACTGGTGGTTCCATTGACTCGAATTTCGGCCCAGTTCTTTATATTTGCTAAAATTGGCCTTTTTTTACCAGAAAATGTGTCATTTTAAAAACTTATCTATCTTTCTGAGGCAACCTGAGCTGTTAGCAAGTTCAAGTGCAAACTATCACAACAAATAACTCATGCGAAGTTTATTTGCTATTTCAGAGAAATAAAGCAGTAAAGAGAATTAATGGTTATCAAAAGGCAAAAATCAGAGACCAGTGGTGTGTGTGTGTTTTACCGCATAGTAACTTTCATAATCATACAGAGGAAAAAAAAAGGAACAAAAAATGTATAATCAAAAAGCTACTATAGCCATGAGGAAAGTAATGAATGGTAAAACAGACGTGATGTTATATGGATGGTACACCAATATTCATGATGAGGAGTTAAGAGTTCTTTTGTTCAGTATAATGAAAACAACGAAAAACTAGATAATCTTCCAAAAGAAAATTGAAAAACCTGACAAAATCAACTAGTGCAGCTTCAGTTTACGATTGTTACAGACCCAATTGGTTAAGCTTACACGAAAACATTTAACACTTTGCATACAAAAAGGTTTAACAGAAAATCAGTGACTGTTGTGCTACTGGTCAATCATTGGCGCAATTACTGGAAATAAAACTATTGATGCAACTCATCAGTTCAACAGCAAGAAAAATGCAAGCCACACAAGGCTGAATAAGACCCGTAAACGATAAAATGTGTTGCAAAAAAATAATGCTTTTCCAAAGATCCAGTAACTTCTCATCCTATTTCAATTTCAGATTGCTCGTCAACATTTTTCTTTTCCATTTCTAACATCTAATTTTTTAACATTTTTGATTTCATCTGAGGTTTTCCTAAGACAACCAGATTCGCATTTAAGCTCTTTCAATTCTAGTTCCTATTTCTCATTTCAATTAACCTATTTTCGCGCATTAATTAGTCATTTTTTATCTCAGTTTCAAATGAATGTATCTGAGCTATTTGTTGCCTAAATCCCGAAGCTTTTCGCAGCTGCACCTGACAAATTAGTACTTTCAAATTAGTACTTTACTTTTCAGCTCACATCATAATCTAGCTAAAGCTCGCTCACTTCTTTTTTTCAAATACTTTAAAATAGACATTTTTTTTTTCAGAATAATCGTTAGTAGTTGGAAAAAGTGACTCAAGATCCAGTGTCAGGATGAAAACAAAACTTTACAACA